TGTTGTGATGAGTATATATATATATATATATATATATATATATATATATATATATTATTCCATATTATCAACCAAGGAGATATAATGGCCAAATTTGTCTCTCTGGTCACGGACTTCCTGACCCAGTAGACATCTAATTTCTCCGTACCGTACGTAGGCCCAAATGTAGGCCCATATTTGTTACGTATGCAGATCGGGCCTTAGGCCTATAATAAGGCCCGTTAAGAAGCCGGAGACTTTTTTCTCCCCTCTTTTTTAAATAAAAGTAAAAAAAAAACTCTATTTAAGCTAATTCTGAATTCATATATAGACGAAACCCTAAAAAAAGATAAATTTAAAAATTCACATCGATCCTTTCCTTTTCGTCATTATTACGAAATACCCAACATAGACGACCTACGCATCCATATATAAACTGTAATAACCGACGAAACCTACTTACGGATTATAGCCCGTCATTTAAAATCGTTCAACACAGAAAAAAATTAATGCAATGTGGTATACTATACTATCCTACGACCCTCTTTTTTTCCCGGTTTGGTCCGATCATTTAATTTTATTGACCATTTATTTCCACCTACGAATATTTTACTTTAGTTAGTAAATATTTAAAATGGTTCGTCTCCGATATATAGTTGGTCAAATCATTCTCTTGCGACATTCCATTCCATGCACCGCCAGATTAAAAACCTTTAGATTCGTGATCTTTACAACTGTTCTTGGTGAGTTGTGAGGATTCGAATTCATGGGTATTACGGAGATGAAATCTCCGGCGAGTGATTCTCGATCTCCGGCCATCTTCGCCGATAATGGAGGCTCCAGCTCGTCCGTACAGAGGAAAAAGCTGAATGTGTTCTTCGTCGAGTCCGATAACAGACGCTCGGCTCTCGGCCGTGGGTTCACTGGAGGGACAACTCCGGTGAACATCCACCGCCAACCCATCTCCGATCTCTCGAAAACCGGCGGTTGGATGGCGGCTCTGTTCATCTTCGGTATCTCTCTCTTCTTCACTTTGATGCTCTACCAGCTTTTTTGTTTCTTTGTCTGTGTAACTCGGCCCTGAAACCGAACCAAGATTCCGAGTTCGATTCGATGTCTGGTTTTTTCAGGAAATGAGATGGCAGAGAGAATGGCTTATTTCGGGCTATCGGTGAATATGGTGGCGTTCATGTTCTACGTAATGCATAAGCCATTCTCGAGTTCATCGAACATCGTCAACAACTTCCTCGGCATTTCCCAAGCTTCCTCTGTCCTCGGAGGGTTCTTGGCCGACGCGTACTTGGGTCGGTACTGGACAATCGCTATCTTCACGACGATATATCTCGCCGTAAGTATCCAAACATGACCAGACATTTTTCTCCTTCTGATCCAATATACGACCTTTGTCTTGATCTTGTTCTGTCCTGTCCTGAGAAGGGTTTGATAGGTATAACCCTCTGTGCTTCGCTGAAGATCTTTGGACCAGACCAGACCAACTGTGACCAGCACTCCTTGCTCCTCGGAAAATGCGAACCGGCAAAACCGTGGCAAATGTTGTACCTATACGCGGTTCTGTACTTAACCGGGTTCGGAGCTGCGGGTATAAGGCCATGTGTCTCCTCGTTCGGGGCAGACCAGTTCGACGAGAGGAGCATAAACTACAAAACCCATATCGATCGGTTCTTCAACTTCTTCTATCTGTCTGTAACGTTTGGCGCCATCATGGCCTTCAGTTTGGTGGTCTATATCCAGATGGAGTTCGGTTGGGGAATGGCTTTCGGCACATTAGCCATAGCCATGGGGATTTCGAACGCTCTGTTCTTCGCCGGCACGCCTCTTTACAGGCATAGACTGCCCGGTGGTAGCCCTTTGGCTCGGGTGGCTCAGGTTTTAGTCGCGGCCTTCCGTAAACGCGATGTTCCTTTCACGAGCAGCGAGTTCATCGGGCTCTACGAGGTTCCGGGCATCAAATCTGCAATCCCGGGCAGTCGGAAAATCGCTCATACTGATGGTTTCAGGCAATGTTTTTACCCTTCGTTCATACCAATGATTTCAGACATGTTGTGGTTTCATGTCTTGATGCTTGGTTCTTGTTCTGTCTGAGCAGATGGCTGGACAAAGCAGCACTCCAGCTGAAAGAAGATGGGTTGGAGCCGTCTCCATGGAAGCTCTGCACAGTGACGCAGGTCGAGGAAGTGAAGATTCTGATCAAACTGATCCCGATCACGGCCTGCACCGTAATGTTCCATCTCGTCTTGACAGAGTACCTCACGCTCTCGGTGCAACAAGTTTATACGCTCAACACGCACATTGGACGCCTCAAGGTTCCAGTGACGTCCATGGCCGCCTTCCCGGGTCTCAGCATCTTCATCTTTCTCTCCCTTTACTACTCCGTCTTCGTCCCGATCATCAGAAAAATCACCGGCCATCCTAACGGTGCCTCGCAGCTTCAACGGGTACTTAAAAGTTTTCTCCTTTTTCCCTTTCCTGTTGATAAAACAACAAACCCGAATTTCGGATACCAAACTATTACATGAGATGAGATCGGGTTTTGCTATTAGGGAAACCCGAAAGAACGATCTTGATTCGGGTATTTACGTGCTAGACATATATCACCCGCGGGTATCTGAGTGAACAGTAAATTGACATTTTTACCCGTAAATTTTAAGAAACTACATGAAAATAACCTACGTGTTTGGATGGTAATACCCGAACCAATCCCTAGTGAATATTATTTGAGAAAGAATTGAATTTATTATATTTGAAGCCCGTGTGTATACCCGCGAATACTCGAAAATTATATCGGAAATCCAAATTTCGGATATCAGACCAAAACGGATCCGAGATCTGGTAATATCTCATGAGACATGAGATGTTCAGATTCGGATTCAGATTCAGTTAACCTAAAAATCTCGGTACCCGACCCATCGCCCAACCCAATTTAGAACAACAAAACAAGACATTGAACAAGACTGTTATCTATGCAGGTGGGCACGGGCCTGGCGATTTCGATCCTGTCCTTGGCTTGTGCAGGACTGTTCGAGGGCTACAGAAGAACCTACGCGATAAAACACGGGTTTGAGCTCAATTTCCTGTCCCAGATGCCCGATCTGAGCGCATACTGGCTGCTGATTCAGTACTGCTTGATCGGTATCGCCGAAGTTTTCTGCATTGTAGGATTAATCGAATTCCTCTACGAGGAAGCTCCGGACGCGATGAAGAGCATAGGATCGGCTTACGCTTCTCTTGCCGGCGGATTCGGCTGTTTCGCCGCCAGCATTCTGAACAGCATCGTTAAGGCAGCGACCCGCGAACCGGACGGGGGTTCGTGGCTATCGCAGAACATAAACACCGGAAGATTCGATCTTTTGTATTGGCTGCTCACTGGTCTGAGCTTGTTGAACTTCAGTGTTTTCCTCTGGTTTGCTCACAGATATGAGTATAGAGCCGTGGAAGGTGAGGAAGAGTCTACACCAATGTTTCAATAGAGAGACAGAGCAAGAATCTGGCTTGTGTCTCTCTGTTACTGGTTTCACATTCTTTTCTCTCCTCTGCCTTGTAATGGATCTGAACTGAGATTCAAGACATGGATTCTCCAATAGGATCTACTCTTGTTTGGGAATATTACCGAAAGTTTACCGAATCAAACGAAAACAGAATCACAAAACATAGTTTTTTCTCCATATAATTCCCGATTATTGCGGATCTTTTACATTCTCGGGTTTTGATCCGTTTCTTCTCTATACAAAATCCTAAGAGAGAGGAAACTTACAGTTCTCTGGTCTCCTTTCCATGCATCGGAAATATACCGAGGAAGGTTATAGTTGTTGCTTTCTCCAGACTGAAGTTCTCGAGTCTTTAAGATGACGAGAAAATGGGATCAAGGGTTCTCGTTAAACTCCATTTCCTGGTAAACAATGGCAGAATGATAAGGATTTCAGTTCCATCTTATATATTAAGAGCAAGATAGCTCGAGATGGACCAACCATATTACATTTTTAAGGCCGGTTCCAAAGTTCTTACCTTGCCGCATATCGGGCATAGGTCGCTCCTGTCTAGCCATTCGTAGATACAACTGAGGTGAAAATGATGCGAGCACTTCGTCAGGATCTTAGGGTTCTCGGGAGTATATCCTGCCAAAAGAGGCAAATCATTCGGTCTATACAAACACCACAAGTACTTGAATGCATATTTAGTCATTCCATTACGTTACCATCGAGACAAGTGGGACAAAAATCTTCATCCTCGGACGAGAGATTCAAAACCGAAGAAGTCCTTTCCGCTGCATCTTCTCGGGGATCAACCGAATTCCATTTCTTTCCATGGCCCGAAGATTCTATACTCGAACTGCTCTTATTCCTCCTCAATGGTTGTGAAGCTTCCCGGAGATTAGTCATGGATTTATCACGCCGAAAGATCAGTCCATCACGCTGAACTCTCGTATAGCTATGTTCGGAAAGAGAATTACGGGGCAAGGGTGATGGAGAATGGCGGCCTTCGAGTCTATAAAACATGGCATTGTACTGCAAACAAACAAGAAATCGAAATCGGGTGATGCTTAAAAAAAGCAATCAGACCATGGAGTCCGAGGATTTTTCGGGCCGTACCCCCGAAAACAGATGGTGGAAGATGCATATAACGCAGCCACATTGTCTGTGAATAGAATTGCCTGAAAAGGACAGTTCTTCCACCAACTCATCTCTGCAAGGAGAGCAGCACAAAGCACCCATGAACCTGGCAAATGGCAGGAACAAACGCTGAGAGTTTTTCTTTAGGGTTCTTAGATCGAATCAGAGCAAGAGGGTGATTATTGCAGGAACTCAATCAGAAACAAGACGCGATTAACCCATTCGAGTAAAAATTCCAAGAAATTATTGATGAAACAGTATGGCTATAAACCTGGGTTTCCCCAGAGAGAGGAACAATTCTCCGATACTTCTCCTTTTCTTAGAGAAACATCCAAGAAAACCCGTGACCATGACGATGTTTAGGTTAAATGATCGATTCTGCAGTAATTGCAGAGCACGCAAACTGAAAATTTCAGAGAATCAGAGAAAAATAAAGATTCACAGGATGAAGCTGATGGAAAAAAACGAGGGATACCCAGAAGAAAATCAAGACATATTCATCCAAATTCGACAAGAAAATTTGCGAGATCGAGGAAATCAATCGAGGGTTAAGACGAAAAGTACTTGCCTTTTTCTTTTGTCTGGACGACAGGAAGATCAGAAGGCCCAGTCGGAAGAGACGAGGCTCGGGGCTCATAGAAACTTCGTCTAAAGCTAGAGTCTTGGTGAGTTGGTGGTGATAATGGTGGAAGGAGAACGTTACAGTACGGAGGCATTTATTATTAATTTGGTAATTTTTGAAATTATGGAGTATCCAAAAAAAAATACACGTGAAGAAAAAGAGAATTTGTTTAGAAAGTTTTAATACTTGGCGATTTTTAATTCGTCAACAAAACCTTTATATTAACAAAACATTTATTAGGAAAGTATCCATAAATAAATAGGAGTTTAGTTGATACTGACAAGAAACAGTAGACGGTGTGATGTACACTTCGTTTCGGAAATTTAGTTGTATCGTGGTCGGAATCGAAATCCAATAACCGTTCGGTTCTAATTCAATATATATATATTTTTTTTATAGAACTGAATGAACCATTTTTAAATTTAACCGTATAAATACCAATCAAACTCTAAATTATCTATTAATATATATATATATATATATATATACATATACAAATATTATGGTTCATTACTTATTTGTTATTTGTATAACGATATTATTTCGAATCGAACCGATGGTAAAACCGAATCGAATTGAAGCGTTTAACATTCAGTTCTAGTTTGAAGCAATTTTTATAAAACACGAAAATACGTTTTCTAATCGAATCGTTTGAATATCAGACCGAAAACCAAAATATTCACCCCTAATTTTCTAAGGTAATAACCGGATGATAAAATCGATTCCAATAGAACAATATATCATTCCATTCAACCAAATTGGATTTGAAAATAGAAAAGTTATAATTTTTTTAAAACCGAATCAAATCGAATAAAAAATAACCGAAAAAACAAAATTACTTTTGTCCATAAAATCCAACGACTGAGAACCAAACAGAGCGAAACACAGAGAAAAGAAAGAAAGAAAGCAGCGTAGAAAAATAAAACATCTTCCACATTACAAAAAATGGCCCAAGACATCGTCCTACATTATCTTCCTGTTTTTTGTTTTCTTTTGTTCTTTTGTAATGTCTAAATATACTTCAAACCGGTAATATACTGTTGCCTGGAGATAACATACTGAGCAAATGAGTAAACGATCCCTAATATCCCAAGCAGCCGAACCTGAAAGACGTCCGTTATAACCACCGCCGCTACGCTCAGCGGCACCGTCAGCATCGGCGACGCATCCGTGTGCTTCGTCGTGTAACTCCACACAAACCTGTTGAACAGAATGTGGCTCGGGGCCGTGATCATAAGCAGAGCGAGGTTCTTCACCCCGAAAAACCATTCCCGACCACCGATTTCCACTCCCCAGCCCGAGTTTCCCCCAAACCAGACCTCTTCTCCGACGGCGTAGAGCGAGGATACCGCTAAGTAGGCTGATATCACGAGTACAACCGGGAAATACCTCTGTTTGTCTCCAAACCCAGCTAAGAGATCCGAGTCTTGGTTCAGGAGGAGTAAGATAGGGGCGAGGAAGAATATCGCTTGGCTCGAGCCGCCCGAGAGATGGATGTTGAGGATTAAGCATATGGCGAAGCACATGATGGTTGCGACGTTTCCGATTGCAGGCATCCATGCTCCATCCGCCGCTATTTTCTCGATCGATAAGGTATGGACGGAGGTGGCTCGGCGTTGTTGCATGAACCTCATCCGTGTCGGGAAAATCCCTCGGGTGCCCTGCTGGTTATGTCTGGTTACACCGATCCTCTCGAGGGCTTTCTCACGCATGAGGGAAGTAAGCTCGAACTTGATCAGGAGGGCGATGAGCATGAACAGTGCTGCATATAATCCTAGAAGAGATGTCCTCGCACCTTCGATGGCTAATAAAGCCGAGACTTTCCGATCGTCCTCTTGTACATCCCACGCATCGATATTACCGACCTCGCTCCCGATTCTAACCTGACCTTCTAACAGATACGTAACCGGGAAGAGAGCGACGAGAAGCGCAAACACCCAAGGGAGAAGCTTCGTGCTCGAGGCGGATGGAAAATGTGTAAAGATGACGAAAACCGAAGCACAAACCATCGTTACGACGATCAAGGCGTGCAGAATAGCAGCCTGCAGGAAGAATTCTGCGGATATGTAGACACCGAGAGCTAAACCCATGGCAACCGAGTAAAACGCTCTCAACTCTACGACGTACTTGATCGGTATAAGAGATGTGGAAGCGGCAAGAGCCAATAGGATCGCCACGATAAGCAACCACGAGGGCCATGTCGGTTTCGATGCCATGAAGCCGTAGATGGAGATATCATCAGCCGACTGACGAGCCGCCTTTATCATCTCGGAATGGTAACTCCATGTAACGGGCATCGGCGGCTGCATAACAATAAACAGGCATCCCATTGCAACCACCAATACTAAGCATCTCTTAGCAGCCTGCGAAAAATGGAGAAAAACTCTTAAGAACGAGAACTCTAGTCCAGAACAAAGAACTATGACCCGGGGCTGATATCGCCTTGTGACTACATGGAAGAAGAAAGAAAATTCATTTCACGAGTTTTCTCAAGAATAGAGATAACAAGAATAGTTTCACATTTCAGACGATGAACATCCTTTTCTTCACACCTCGATTAAACTCAAAGTATAACCTCACATAGTCTTTCACAAAATCGTAATATCGACAAAGATTGTTAAAGAAATGTTCTCGATTTTAGGTCTGCACAATTAAAAGTTATTTTTCGGGTAGACTCGTAAGTTATAAGCACATAATTCGGCTTCCTTTTCTGGTTAATCGTAGAGTATAGCTAATCAGACATAGACATAACATAACAAAGCAGACATACCAGGACATGTGAAAAGTGGAGAGCAACAATTGGTACACAGCCCAAACCGATCAAAATGATGCAGAAACCGAGAAGTAAGCCATCAGATGGAGATCTCCCGTTCCACCATTGCAACGCTTCAAAGATTGTTTCCCGGCAAAACCAAACAGATATAGCAACAACCCCGGCATGAGCATAAGCTTGCCAAGGTTTCATCTTAGAGCCAGTTCTTGACTTATCCCTGAAAAGTCCACAGGTAGAATAGATCAGGCAAAATGTAAAAAAAAAAATCAAAACAGAATGATGTTTACAGGAATGAAATTGATAGCTACATACTTGTAGAGAAGCAATGGAGGGGAAACAGCCAACAGGAGAACTGCAGATACCCAAACTATTGATTTTGACGACAAAAACAACATAGCTAACTTAGCCGAATACAGACAAGTCAAGATCCAGACAGACTTCTGTCCAATTCGACGATCAGCATTCAGTCTTCTCACTACAGCCAAGCCCACCAGAGTTGTCAAGATGACCATGTAGCTAGGATACATCACGTCATCTTCCATTCCATAATAATATATGCTCGAGTAGTTGAAAAACCGGTCCTCGATGTAACACAGCAATAATGCGTGACTGATCAAACCAGCTTCGGTCAGGAAGTGAAGTTTCGACGGGAGAAGGACAAGACCAGGGATGACCATGGCTAGGATAATGTTGGCCACTATAAGCTTACAGAACGATTTAAGGAACATGCCAGCCATCCAAATGTTTAAGTCCCAATAGTTATGCATAACGAACCATATAACCATTAAACTTGCAAGAGCAACAAATGCAAAGTAAGAGGGCAAACTCTTCTTCGTAAAGAAACGGGCAAAATAAAGCCCAGAAACCGCTGGAAGAGGAATGAACTGCAAGATAAAAAGAAAATGTGAATTACCTGTTAAGTTCCAGCAAGTCATTTACATATCAACGACCTACTATACCAAGGCATAGACATTGTGACATCAAACATGATCCAAGGTGTCAACTTTCAGCAAGAAAAAAACCTTTGGATATAGAACAATATGCTATATGGAAAATGGTAGCCCGCGAAGCAACTGTATCAACAGATATGCCCTAGTAAATATTATTCATAACATTTCAACTTCCAGGTACAACCAGCAGTAACTTCCTCGGATTAAGAGTATGTAAGAAGCCAGTTTTATAACAAGTGAACAACAGAGGCGCAAACACGGGCAAAAATGAAACATACATTTGCTAATGTTCTTCCATGCATTTCACCAATATCACTTTTTACCAAAGACTTCAAAGGATTTCATTACTTATCCACTCACCATAAGAGAACAACAACACCGACTTTTCTGTTCCTGCCCGTCTTTCAAGACATTTCAGATCAAGATGAAAATAACACATGGCTATAGTATATTGCCACAAAGCCAGCCTAAGGAGACAAAACCCATCTCTTATCTTATGGCAGACAAGGATTGCATAGAGGATGCTAAAGAGACAAGCTACTAAATATCACTAGTAAAAGATTGGTGATCTTGGAAGTTGGAAGAGAAAGCTTACCAGAACTGGAAATCCTACAACAATAGCTCCTGCAGCGCTCACAACCACAGCCAAAGCTGTGAAAAAGGCAGAGCTAAGAGCATCTGAGATCATACCAAGAGCAAAAGCACCAGCCCCAGCAGAACCTCCGAGCAATGTAGTGGTCACCAGAAGATAATTCAACGGAGGCGGCACTTGAATATACTTCCCAAACGAGTGGAAAACAACTCTAATCTCCAAACAGATCACGACAATGACCATGGCAATGGCACCATTAACGACCCGAATGCTCTGCAGTTGATGAGAATTCTTGGTAACCCACCATAGCCCACCTCTTGTGGAGGCGTAGAGCTGGAACAGGAAAGGGATAAAGAACAGGAGCAACATATCTGACACTGAAGCAGCTGAGGAGAATATCACAGAGTAATGTGAAGCCACGTGAAAGAGAAGAGGCATAAACAGCAAATTCAACGTATGGAAACAGCTCTCGAGTGGCCCAAGGATCAAGTTATCATCAGGGATCTCTCCTCCATGGAACTTCGCCTCCTGCTTGGTCTTGAAAGAAGAAACCCTAGGAATAGAGAATACCCAGTAGAAGACGCAATTGAAGACCAGGAAATAGTAAGAAGCGTTGTTCATCCCAACGGCGGAGATAGTAGCCCAGGCGAAGAGAGCTGAGGCAGTGATAGGGACGCAGGCGAACAAGAGGCGCTCGAGAGCGAGAACAATGGAGGGATTCTCCAACTGAAGCCATTTGAACTGAAGCGAAGCCCAACATCCGATGAGAAAGGTGGTCTCAGCGCATAGAAACGCCGCGAGGAGGCCGAGAGGGGCGGAATTGAAGGAGGAGACAAGAGAAGAGGTGAAGAAGAAAGAGATCTGAGCCGCGATAAGCGACATCCATATCCCTAAGAAGGCCCCAAACTTGACGTTGAGAGAATCGACGATGTACGAGATCATGAGCCCGATGGTGAGGGTCGCGACCACCGGAGCGCCGCCGAGGTCGAGGAGGAAGGCAACGCAAGGCGCCAGAGCGACGGCGATGCGGCCGTTGTAGGCGAAAGAAGATGGCGAGAATCGAGAGTTTGCCATGGATCTCGACGGAGCAGCAGCTACGCCGCCGTCGCGGAAGCTCCGGCGAGAGCCAGGGGAGTAAGAGGAGGCAGCGCCGGGGGAAGACAACGTGGGTTCTCCGGAGGAGGAGGGGGAGATATGCGGCCGGAACAGCCGCGGCTGAAGCTCCGGTGGCATCATCGTCGCCGGGAAATTTCTTCGAGAGAGAAAAAGCGTCTCTGTCCGTTTACTGACGAGGAAAAGATCTGTGTATCGCTCGAGTCGTGGTTCGATCTGGCGGAGACTCTGACGTGTTCGGAAGAACAGGAGCCGTTGGATTTTGACAAGTGGGCCCGCATTGGACGTGCATGGTATGCAAGCATATAGAAGATAGCTGCTCAAGGGAAAACAAACGGGTCGGTTTTTCTATCCATAGAAAGTCTCCGATTGAATCAGCAACTTCGAAATCCGAATTCTGAGGTCAAGAAACTGTGATGATTGCCGAATGTCTCACACATGAATACTCATTTTTTCGAATACTAAACGACCCATTATTATGTTTAATCATACAAAATCAAATGAAGCTGCAACTGGAATAAAAATTCAACATCAAATCCAAAGCTTGAACATATGAAAAAAAAAAAAAAGACTTATTGACCAGAATGTAGCTCGTGAAGCTCCCACGAAGGAGTTTTCGAGCTGAAAAATTCGGACAAAACACCAGAATCCAAAACCTTCAAGGCATCTTCGAATACAACAGATCTAGGTGTCTTGTACTGACTAACCGAAGAGCCTCTGGACACGAACAAATTCATCAACTCGTCGAAAGTGCCTTGTTTCACCACCTTTATCTCGAGCGGTCCTATGTTCTTGTCGTTGGTCCGACATTTCCTGTAAACAGCGTCGAGAGATTCCTCTACGATGAAGCAGCATTCCTCCATTACAACAGGGTCAAGCTCGAGTTTTCTGTCGTTGAGTTTGGTCTTGAGTTCCCAGTAGAGCACATAATGTCCGGGGAAGGAAGAAGTTTCTGCGTAGCTTGTGAAATCTGTCAGCATCAGTTTGTGTTGCTCGAGCTTATGTTTCGCCTGTGTCATGGCTTTTAGGAGATCCTCCTCGTATGTTTTATCCATGTCGATGCTTAACACCACTTTTTGTCTTCCCACGACTTGGAACTGAGGTGCGTTGTTGTGGAAACCGGTTGCCCGTAACACGTCCCCTACTCGGTACCTGTATAAACCTGAAAATTCATATAGACTATGAGATATGCAATTTGAAACATTGAAAAGAGAGTGGACAAGGGTCGGGTACCCAAATTTCGGATACCATAGGGTGCAACTAGGATTTGGATTAGGGTTAGGTGTGGCCGAGAGCGATTTTGTTGTCTTAGCTCCCCATGGACCAGGTACGCCTCCATTCTTCGCCTCGCCGACCCTCTCGCCTCGACCCCTCTCATCTAGAAACTCTTGGCCTTCTCTTTGATGACCCTTTCGACCAAGTGACCCGACTCCTCTCGACTCACTGGTTAGGTACTCCATCCGAACCCTTGATGCATCTTGTGGGTACTTGGCTCTCGCGAGACAAAGATCGAGTATATCTATCGAGTTACTCGATGGGGTGAGGTTGGGTACGCCAAAAAACTTATGTGCCACATTCGTATCTACCTTTAACTCGGATATCCGTTGGATCTTTGACCGATGAGAGGCAAATCAGAAAGAGACGAGGTCGAGGGGGCGAGGCTGACACTACAAAAAAAAATTATCATTTCCAATGGGCAAATCCGTTGGAAATGACCAATTTTCCGTTGGAAATCGGTATCCGTTGCACAAGCGTTGAATTTTCAACGGAATTTCAATGGATTTCCAACGTATTTTCCGACCGCAATCCGTTGCAAATTTCCAACCGAAATCTGTTGAAATATTTCAACGAAAAATTCAAAACATATTATCAATCATGACCCTTGCCACCAACTCCGACTCTAAATCGAACCCAAAACTCATTCCGATTAGGTCACCCATCCCTCAATACTCTATCACAATTTTCTTAATTCTAGAATTTCAATTTATAATCATCTAACTATTCCAAATTAAATTTCTCATATGATTTAACATAAATATATATACATATATAAATGTTTATCCATATAGATATTTATATATATATACATAAACATATACATATATAAATATTTATACATATATATTCATATAAATATATTTACGTATATACAAAGTCGAATTCATATATATATATATATATATATATATATGCATAACATATACTTATAGTATATATATACAATATATATATATATATATGGGGTGGAAATTTCGATTCAGTTCCTACCGAACCGAAAATTTTGGTATTTTTCTCGAACCATACCATACAAAATTCTCGAATGATATATTTTTTGGAATCGAACTGAAACAAACTTCATAAAGTTCCCGAAAAATCCAATTTTAAAAAAAAAATCTAAATTTTTTTAACATAATCCGAAATCGAAGTGTACCGAAACCAAAACCGAACCGAACCGAATGTCGATATATATATATATATAAATACTTATTCGTATATGTATACATAATATATTTATATGTATAAATATATATATATATATACACACATGTGTTTATATATATACACACATAATATATTTATACGTGTATATATATATATATATATATCTTTACATATAGGTATATATAAAATACATGTATTTAAATATATATATATATATATATATTGATATACATATTTTTCAATTGATGTTTTCAATTAAAATCTAAATTTTCAACTGATATCCATTGGAATTCCGTTGAAATTTTTTAAATAAAAATTTTCAACCGAAATCCGTTGGCATTGCGTTGGAAATTTTTTCCAACCAAAATCCGTTAGAATTCCATTGAAAATTTTCAATCTATTTTCCAACCGAAATCCATTAGAAATTTTCAACCGACATCCATTGGAAATGTCGTTGAAAATTCGATTAAAATCTTTCAACGGACAATTTCAACGGCAATCCGTTGAAAATTTCAACGAAAATCGTCGTTAAAACACCGTTGAAAATCCATTGACAAATTTCTTGAGGGAGCGAGATTCGAGAAATGAGATAAAGAGAGATTTAGAACATCAAACTCACCGGCAAACGTTGTGACCACAGGTTCATAGTAATGACCTATTTTCACGTCCACGAGATCAACCACTTCAACAACACCTTCTTTTTGGGTTTTGTCTACCTCTAAGAACTCGAAATATGCTGAGTTTGGAATGATGGTATATGAGACGTCACTCGGCTTACACAAAGGGTCGAAATTGATGCCGAAGAAACACTCGGAGCTTCCATAAAATGTGGCAACCAAAGGAAGGCCTCCGCCGTAGAATTCCAGTAACGGCACGTACTGTGCCATTGAACCCGTAACAATGGCTTCGATGCACTTTGCCCTTGGCCATAGTCCTCTCACTATGGCCTCCCACGATGTTTTACCGCATTCGCGTTCGATTAAATCAGCTAGTTCAAGATTTGGACCGCCGAGGATGTTAGAAGTCGAAGTTCTACATTTGATGTCTGTGATCCACTCGCTAATATGACCGGTCCTTATGTTCGAGCATAACTCTTGCCAGTGATCTTCCAAGAACTTGATTACTTTTAGGAAGGAAGATGCAAATGGTGCACCGAGCCTAACTATATGATCTCGTTGCACCAGCCCACATAGCAATTGGCAATACATACTTTGCTTAGTGTCTTCACATACCGTGACCACATATGGACTTGCATTAACTCTGTCCCTGTAAAACAATAAACAACATATATGAAATGTTGATATCTCGAAAGCTAATGAACAACGATATATATATATATATGTGTGTGTGTGTGTACGCGCACGCCCGCGTGTATATATATATGAGATTGATTACCAAAACTTCATATGCTCCGCGCTAACACTTTTCAAAACGCTGGTTAACATAGTTCTAACTATCAAACCAGAGGCCGTCTCGCTTTCTCGGTTGATGAAATAGAACTGCAACCCCTTTCCTTGTTTATGACCTTCGATGTGCCTGCAAAAGAAGTAATGAGTGTCTTAACCCTTTTATTGGTAAATCGGTTTACTTTGTTCAGTTAAAACATAAATTAAAATGAATTGTTCGTAACATACTTTCCCAATACAGCCGACGAGAGAGGCCCAAAATATTTACGTCGGTCCAAATCTTCGGCCGTCATGGGAATCAACTTCGGGACACCTCCGGACGTCCCCGAGCTGCAAAGCAAGTGTTCTCTCATGTCTTATCGGTGTCATTAGTTATAATTTTGCCGCCAACTGAACTCTAATTGATATGAGTAATCGGAAATGTATGTACATCCAAACACGGGTCTAACCCGGGTTTTGATTGAGCAACTAACTTCATATTGAAACCGAACAACAACAAACGATGATATAACCACAAGAAATTCACACCTATAGCTAATACATGTGTATATATAATACATATGTTTAGATTTTAATCTAAAGTTTTCTACATATTATGTCCATAAATATCTCGTACATTACATCAATGAACAACATAATATGATACCTATACATTCGCATCAACCCGCACCGACAATAATATGAACAATTTGGTTGCAGATTCTACAGAAGAACGATCCTTTAAAAAAAAACGAACCTGGACATGAATTCAGTAATGGGTTGGGCACAAATGATATCCGACGGCTCTCCATTGGCGATACGGTCGATGTACGGTCTGAGATCTTCGTAGGCGATGACGGGCACGTTCTTCTTGAAACTTTTCTTATCGATTTCTCTGTTGAGAAATCTTCCGAGATATTCGGTCTGGGCGTTACGAGAAATTATATTTTCCAACACCGATTCTTGAATCTGCTTCGCGTCTGCGGTGACATCTTCAAGCACGGCAAGACAAGCTTCTTGGTTGGTCGGATCGAACTTCTGGAACATGGTTTTTTTGCTTCGATTTTTTTTTTTTTTGGTGGTTACCTGCAAGAATATTACAACTCAAGTTTAGGTCGCCACATAAAAACATTGTTTATATATATATAAAGAAATCGTTATTTGTGGGGGATAATGAAGGAAAATGACCGCTCAAAATAGAAAAAAGAGATTTATATTCGGAAAAACAATAAAAAAATATAAGCATGTTTTAAAGAAAAATTGTGTAGCAATCTAGAATAATTTTAACAGAATATCGGCTATTATTTAAATAAGGTAAGCTATTTTTCCCCAAAATACTGTAACTCACTCATCATTCAGGAATGATTTGATTTCTATAAATATATAAAAGATGCAAGATTTACTTTCCACTCTTATACCCTTACTTCTAGAAGCCTTTTTATTTCTTTTTTAGGGCTTTTTTTGTGTGGAAAGGAACCCAAAGAAAATCAAAAGCAACAATAAATCGGGATTTTTTTTCCTGGTAAATAATGGGCCGAGAGTGAGAATGAAAATTTAAATCGATTTAATTGGAATTATTAAGTGGAATTTCAAAAAATTTAAATCGATATATATATATATATATATATAAAATTCAAGCTGTTGAAGAAATACGTACCTCGGAGATTAGAGACGATAACTGTTGAAAAATACGACCGGAAGCCTTCCCCCTTTGGCTTCGGAACGTGAGAGAGCGAAGAGATCCGCTGGAAGTGAAGTGATGATGTGTCGTGTAATGAATGATTCCACTTGCATAAGAAGACGTTTCTTTGAATTGGTTTTGTAATTCCGAGAAAAATCTTTATCTTTTTCTATTAATAATAATAATCTTATATGTGCTGTTTTCTTTTTTATTGTTTTTGTAATTCCAAGAAAAATTTTATTTTTTTAAATAATAATATCTTTTTTTCCTTGAAGTCGGTTTGGCACAGGTGGCATCAGCGACCACAACCATCTAGTACATAGTACTATAATATAATAATAGAAAATAAAAATACGAATCTAATTTTGCTAAAGTATATGCATTGAAGTAATATAAAATTTTAAACTAATGTAAATATTGGAGTTAATTATAATGCTAACAATATTAAGTATGTTCACGTGGCCTCTTATGGGGAGTGCGAACCCACGCATAGGCACCCAAATTAAAGGGTCTCATATTTTTTGTATAAAAATATTTATTATATATAATTAAATTATGTAACAAATAAATAAAAACTATCACAAATCTTCATAAACATAAAATATCTATTATTCAATTATATTTATAATAAAATATTAATCTAATAGAATTTTAAATTATTTATTTTCATTGATTTATTTTAAATTTTTATTGATAATAACAAATAAATAATTTAAAATTAATTTTATCTAATCTTAAACAAAATCTAAATACAACAATAGTCAATAATAAAATAATATATTGAAGAGAACTATATATTACTTACATATATTACTATTCAATATAATTTCAAATTTTAAATTTATTTTTAAAATATTTTGTAGAGGTTTCGACCACGATCCCTCACCTATCACTTTCGAATCATTCATGTGAAAAAGAACATAAAAGAAAACACGAGACACCGGAGATTTATGAGTTCAGTACCGAGTTCTACCACTCGGTACCTATGTCTCGGGAAGAAGGAACCGCTATTTGTTAGGTACAACAGAGAATCACGCCGAAGATCGACTGGAGTCAATAACGACGTAACCGCAGAACCAAGGTTCTTCTAGAGAGAGAGAAGAAAACCCACAAAACACAAAACGGAAGTCTGAGCAATCAAATCGTAATCCTAGGACTCATAATACGCCCTTACAAAAATACCATTTTATCCCTCCATGTTTCTAAACCCTCTGATTCGTTCTGCGGCTCCGAAATCCAATGAATCTCCCAACGGGTTTTGACGATAACCACTCTACAAATCTCCGCCTTCTTCTACAAAACCTGCAAACGAAACAAACACGAAACAAAAACACGCCACAAAATAACCCTAGCACGCAAAGTTCCCCGTTACTTCCATTTTAACTCCTCCTCCCGGCATGATCCAAGGCGCATTGGAACACCATTATTAGAGGAGTTCTTACCGAGCATGTCATAAACACGTCTCAGCGTGACACGACGCACCTAGCCTACCCGAGTGAATGTCCCCCAACAACTCCGCTTCCGAAGACTACCTAAGGTCTAAACTAGTATGACTCTCTAGACCGTCTAAATGACCCATCCGGTGATGTCTAAACCTCACCTATAGGCCCTTGAGGGTTAACCCTGTAATACCCCGATTCCCGAATAATTTATTTAAATTAACTCCGAGAATAAAATAGGGTAAGACAAGTCTAAAATATAAGGTGATTGGCATAAGATTCGAACTAAGGGATCAACGGGACTCGAACGCGTCGAAAACGACGAAAAAACAGTACAGAACGGACGGACCAGAAGGTGGAACGGACGGACTGCCGTTCGCCAAGCGAAACGGACGGTCCAGGTGATAGAACGGACGGACTGCCCGTTCGCCAAGCGGAACGGACGGACCAGCAGGTAGAACGGACGGACTGCACGTTCGCGAAGCGGAACGGACGGTCCAACACCAGAACGGACGGTCTGAGGGTTTGGGAAAAAGTCGCCGAAAATCCTGACTTTCTTCCATTTTCGGCCGCGATTTTCTCGCGACACACCGACCCCACGCGTGAACGACCACCACCCAGACGCAGTGGACGACACCCTCTGGCCCTCCTACCCTATCCCTAGCTCCTATGGCGGCGTTAGAGGTCGATTTAATCGGCTCCAACAGGTGAAGATCACCATTCTGTAACCCAGAACCTGTTCTTCGAAAACAGAGAAAAATAGAGAGATTCAGGGAGATTTGAGGCG